GCCTCGCCAGCAAAGTGCCCAGCCCACCCTATGCAGCGGCAGTGGGGCAGGAGAGCAGAAGTTTGCTTTTCCTCCTTCCTTGCTGCCCTAGTGTTGGACCCTACAGCCCCGGCCGATGCCGCCGGGACCAGGAACAAGCTGCAGGGCTCGCGTCTGCCCGCTCCTACCTGGCATGACTGTCTTCTCGCAGGCAATGCACTTGGAGGAGAACTCGCTGCAGTAGCAGTCGTTACACAGCAGCTCCTCGCCTTGGCAGGTGAACGGCTCGTCGGCCAGAGAACGGTCGCAGCGGAAGCAACGAAAGCAGTGCTCGTGGTAATGGCGATCCTCGTAGTACAGCTCCTGGGGAGGACAGCCGAGATGAGGGGGGGACCGATCGCCCCAGGGAACCGCGCTGCCCAGCCGCGGCACCCCCTACTCACCCTGCAGTCGTGCCCGATCAGCTCTTTGCACTCATCGCAGGTGTTGGCAAAGTGGGCGTCGTAGCAGGGGATGCAGTACGGGCCATTGTCCATCTGGATGTACTTGCGCCCATACAAGGACTCCTTGCAGTTGTCACAGTCAAAGCACTCTGTCATGGTGCCAGCCTGAGGGCCTCCTTCACCTGCTAAAAGATCAGCGGAGATGCTGGGTCAGTATCAGCTTACAGCGCCCGAGATGTCCCTGCACGGCCCTGCCATCTCCAGAGGGCAAGGACCGCGAATCCCTGCGCTGGGCCAACAAACCGCCACCATCCGGGGAGGGCGCAGACCCGGGATGCTGCACCTGCTCTGTGGCTGTTGGCACTTCCAAAAAAGCCTGCGCACATTCAGGACCTGGCATGAATCTCGCCTCAGGTTCGTATTCACGACCAGCAGCTGGAGCAGCTAGGCACCGCTTGGAGAAGCCCAGACACGTAAGCACATGGCTGAGCTTCTCATCGTCCGCCTCCTTGCTGGGAAGCAAAGTGTAAATGATGGCCCAAAGAGAGACTTTTTTTTGCATGTAAAGTTTTGATTTGGCACCCAAAACAGGACCATGCCCACGCTGCGTGGGTGCACACCCACTGTCACATCAGAGAGCCAGCCACCCTCGAGGGAGACCTGCCTACCAAGCGGCCCTGCAGAGACCCACACTCCATCGTCCGCCTCCTTGCTGGGAAGCAAAGTGTAAATGATGGCCCAAAGAGAGACTTTTTTTTGCATGTAAAGTTTTGATTTGGCACCCAAAACAGGACCATGCCCACGCTGCGTGGGTGCACACCCACTGTCACATCAGAGAGCCAGCCACCCTCGAGGGAGACCTGCCTACCAAGCGGCCCTGCAGAGACCCACACTCAGCCACCAGCGCAGCCCGGGACCAGCGGCAGGGTTCCTCCTGCTGGCCCGCGA